GAATCGATAAGAAAAAAGTTAATATCAGAAAAGTAACTGAATAATCCAATAGCTTTTGGAAGGTGGATTTTCTTTCATCATTTACAGCTGTTGAAGGAACTTCCAATTTATGAAAGTGCGTGCTTGAGTTATTGGGTTGCTTTTCTTTTTATATTTTCTACATTCGTGTCTTGTTTTTTTTGTGCTTGATTTCTGTACTAGATGTCTCAGTTCTTTTGGGGCACTGTTGTGATTTCATCTGTTTTTTTTATTTTTCAGGGCTCATTCATTGTGCTCTGTAACCATGACTTTATTTGTTGACTATTATTATTTAGTGTTTTGCCTATTGTTTGTGTGCACATATCTTCAGTATGTTATAAATATATATATATATATATACACACACACACTTTTTGAGAGTCAAGAAATAAATGGTGCCATTTTTTTTCTTAAACTGTTTTTAACTTTATTCTGACTTTGGGTTAATGAGAGAGTTTAACTAATAAATCATTATTTCAGATCATGAAATATTTAATAATTTAAAGCACTTGGCTGATAACTTGACGTAACCGTAATCCTTTCTAAACATGTTTCTAGACCATTTATGCATCAAAATGCTTGTCAGTTCACGACTTTTCTGGTTACAGAGTCTCTAATAACATACAAGTCACACTAAAAGCATGCAAACAAATGTACTATAATTGTTGCAGTTAATCCAGTATTCAATGCTGGGGTACATATTTTTATGTAGAAAATGAATGATTTCTCTCAATTTTTGGTCAGTTCTTTATGCTGAGTGTTATAAAAAGCAAAAATAAAAAAACAGTTTCTCAGTATGTAAATCTTATCAGCAGTAAACAGAATGATAACAAGTCCTCAATTTAAAAAATGTAAAGTATATACTAAGATACTTTGAAATCCATGTGTCGGTACCATTCATGGCAAGAAAAGTTTCAGCTGTTTATTTTAATTAAATATCACCTGTTTTCAATTATCTGTATACTAATTTATTTTTGTAAAAGAAATTCCAATTAATGAAAATTTATTAAATGGAATATGTGTGTGTGTGTGGTACTGTTGTTTTCAGCTTATCATTCATCATTATTTGCAAATTTGGGGGGGGGGGTCATTTCTGAAATCAATAACATATTTAGGCCTAAGTAAGCCATGGATCACTAGAAGTCCAGTACCGTGGTCCGTAACAAATGAAAGTTTTTTCAACACTGGATTTAATTTTCTGCTAACATCAAAATACAGTTTAGGTTCGGGGGGGTATTTGGATACAATGACCCTTTCCTCCCTGTGACACCCATGTAGGTCATCTTAAGTTTTAGCATTATAAAGACACATTAAATCATATCACCATGTCATAGGTTAATTCTTACCAACTTTGGTGAAAATGTATTGAAACTGTTATGGGAGTTGAATGAACAAGATAAATATGCCACAACCAGATCATGCATTATTTTTCCAAAACCCAAACAATCAATGCTAAGTTTCATGAAACTGGTTTCAAACATATGGGGGGAAAGTACCATAAAATCTAGGTATTTATGTAAGTAAATGTTGAATGGAAATATTTCATCATTATAACACATAAATTTGTTTCTAACTTGGAAAACTCTTCGCTATGTTACGTGGGATTCTACAGCAAACTGCTCAAGAAGTTGATTTTATAATGTTACTGTATATTGAAGGAACATCCTTCGGCTCTTATACTGTCATATTTGCAGCTTCCATACCACATTTTATGAAACATGAGTTGAACATTTATTATGAATTCACTCTTCAAGTCTAGAAAAAATACAGCTCATATTTCTCAAGATAGAAAACATATTGTTAGATTATTTTGAAGTCTTAATCGAAAATTGACATATTTTTATGTATGCAGTTGAAGAGTTTTGTAACATTTGCCTATTCAATAAATTATTTTTGCCAGTGATGATCAGTATTTGCGACTGTGTTGGAAATTGCTTTGAACCTTCAAAAATTGTTATTGCTAAGTGAAATTCCTTACTAGCATTTTAGTGGAAAGGATTTAACAGTCAATTTGACAGCAGTGATAATGCAAGGGAGTCTATCGTGAGATTCCTCAAAATTGGTTAACTTGAGCATTAAGTTTTTGTAAATTTTACACACATGCACACTACTAATGACAAGCTTTGGTATGGATATGGTGAAGTTTATAATTTGTGGAATGCAGCTTTCGTTATCAAACTGATAAGTACTTCAGTTTTTTCACATCAAAAATATTTGTATAATTATGGCCCCAAATACCTCTTACTATGTCATACTTAAAATAAATAAATATGCCTGTTATTATTATACAATGCTCTTTCTTCTAATTTTAGTAAAACAAAAATCAGTTTTTTATCCTTTTCCCTGTAAATAATGCATAATATTTGATATTTAGAACTAATTCATGGCAAGTGTGTTACATCAAAAGACTAGATTTATGATAGAAAAATTACCTCGAACAGCACACACTTGAAAATTAACTAAGGTTATGAATATCCATTTTTATTTTACGTTTAATAATCTAACTGTATACCTAATCAGCTCCGAAGGAAGCTACATTTTGCTGATAGGGCTATCAAGTGTGCAGCTATACAACTGCTAGAGTTTGTGTGTGTGTATATATACAGCTTATATAAAACTAATAAGATTCTCTGCTGGTCAATAAAATTTTTAAAGTCAGGCGATCACTAGCCTAAAATGTGGAAGGACTTTAACCCTACTGCTTCCACTGGCCTTGCTAATTATCCCATTACAGTACTCTGTATTGAATACATAACAGTTAAACTTGTTTCCTGATTAAATGTGCTGTTATAAGTGGGATGATTTTATTGAGAATATTTACATATTAGAGTTGTTAATTGTCAGATATTGATGAATACAAAAAGTTTGGATGAAATCATACCAAATCGAAGTGTAACAATTAAACTCAATCCACCACCAGTAAAATAGGATTTTGTTAAACTTTCTGTTAATAACACTATTTTTTATCTTGAGAATTGGGGTGTTGTCTAAAAAAAAACACCTTAGGTAGCCCTCACGGAGTTCCTAGGACAGTGATCAACTAACAAACTAAACATTCACTTCAACTAGGTAACTGATGGAGATAACACTGGAAGTAGCCTAAACTATTTATGAAGAGTTTCCTAATTATGGGTAAACACCTAGTTGGAAAAAAAGAAGTTCTCTAACTATGAACAAACATTGTGTAGGAGGAAGGTTTGAGCTTCCAAGCTATAGGAAACATCTGTTTGGAGCATCCGAATATATGACAAAAAATAGTCCAGCAAGAGCTCCCTAACCAGAAGGGAATGAGAAAGTAGACTTCTAAGAATATTACTAAATCTTTTAACAGTATAATTTCAACAGCTGCATAATTTTTTTGTTTATTGAACTCAATTCTCATTTATCCCAAATGATATTTGAAAAACATAAATCAATTAAAAGTGAATTAATGTTTCTGAAATAGTCCCTACCTTACAATGAAGCCTTTTGCAATGGAAACTGCAGCAGGTTTGTTGTCAAGATGCACTGTCGATGGTTAGAGCATGACCGGACGTGGTGATTTGGAATGTAACGACATGGTGAGGCTCCTAATTTTTTAATACAACGAAACAGCCCTTGTTAACATTTGAAGAACACACGAACCAATTACATATGAGTTAAGGTGGTTTGAATCTTTAGATAACCCATTTTGATCACATAGGAAGACCGTACATCAAGGTATGCCATAATGCTTTTTTTTTCAGAATTAAATTAAATTTAACAATCTAACATTTCTTTGCTTGTAACGTTCCAGAACCAGTCGTTTTTTTTTACCATTAGCATCTTAGCTTGGAGTAAGGTTTAAAACTTTATAATCTTTAACCCTAAATACGAGAAAGAAATGGAATTTTGAAAGAAACTATAATGTTATGTTTAACTGCAATTGATATTATAAACTTTTAAAATAAAATAAAATATAGTTAAAGCACAGAGGAGAAAATAATATAAGGTCAAATACAACAATATAAAATGATTTATTTAAAAAACCAAAATACCGACGTAGACTCAAATATAGTATATTGAGATTATTTTAAACTAAATATAAAATTGACTAAACTGAAGTATCGTCATTGTATTTGCTCAAAATATTGTGTAATGATAAAATTATTTGTTTTAACACAAAATGGATGGGCTGTGTTCGACGCAGCATCGAACAACAAATTTGAACGTTATAAGCCCTGAAGCTTACTGCTGGTCCGGGCACGTGGAAATAAATGCTAAAATTAATTTATTCCACCGAAAAAAATTTGTTTTTGATTAAAATTAATTGTATATTTTTTCACTACATGTTAAATATTTGGTAAGTATAAAATCTGCTTTTATCGTTAGAATAAAAGCCTACCAAATTTTGAAATTCAATATTTCTTCCAATTAAAAATCATGTTTTAATTTAATGTGCCCACCCTTGATAACTCGGCGGTAAGCTTAGGTGCTTATGACTAAAATACGGTAGTCGAACCATACATTAGACACAACATAGATAGTCCATTGTGCAGTTTTGTGCTAAAGAAAATAACAAACTAGACATGTGTATGTTAAAATAATAAATTGGTAAAAGATCCTTCCTCTAATTCTTATTTATTGTGACATAAAGTTCATAAATAATTACACTTCCTCAACTTAGTCCAGTTCGCACGCGAATCAACCGTTATCGAGTCTTTAGCTTATACAAGTTATGTCTCAACCACGAGTGGTTTACCGTATTATATCCCAGCTGACCCGTTAAATCCTTGTCGGCATTTAATATAGCAGATATAGTGTGGTTGATATATCATTTATATATCCTTCTTTAACTTACATTCAAAATTTTATATTATTATTATGTGTATGTATGTATATATATATATATATATATAGTTTTTGTTGATTAAGGTCACGAAAACAACTGAATTTTCATTAGGATTTCAGTGTACAGTGTAATAGTAAATCGGCACAACTTTTTTATGTGGTCTATTTTGAATTATATTTGACTTACTACTCATACAAAATGTGTGAAGCTTCGTATGTGTAAATAAATAAAGCGTAGTACAGAGGGTTTAGCACGCTATATTAATATGGTTCTGAATATGTAAATCAGCAAGTCACGTGACAACCACACCTGATATAAAGTCGCGGCGGAACGGAATATATTGTTACGTCTCCGTTTGTTAATTGATTTTCCGTAACTTCGTTCCGACGAAACTTAAGCGACACAAGTCCTTTCTTAATAAAACTGGTTTATTCTTTCCGAATATAACTTTACCAATACACTCAACTTCAACAATCGCGCTAAACAAACGCTGTAACGTCTCTCGTGCTCTCTGACTGCAGTTCAATTACTCACT